ACTTTACGGTCTGGACACTGCAACACTCGATCAATCGCCGTTTTTCTAAACACATCACTTTCCTTCCATCGGCTACTATCTGCTTGGCTATGAACCCATCTCAGCCACACCGAGCCATCGACTTCGACTAGAAAAATCATACTGTTGAAGGTGTGAAAAACTGACAGATGTTCTGACCTAGCCTGGGCAAAGACGCAAGGAGAAGAGTATGAATAGCAAGTTTTTCAAGTTCAGGTCCTTTGGGTGTGAGAAGCAGGCGGACAGCCTAGGATGTCGTAGTAGTTCCCAAAAAATCAATGACAACTCAAATCCAAAGACGTTAACCTACCTGAACGTACCATTCTCCAGGAACTGTGAATGTAGATGGATCTGGATGACTACTTCGTACTTTTCTAAGGGTCTAAAAAATCTCAACAGTTAAAAAATCAAATAGAAAGCAAGCTTACCTGATCTATAAAACCGCTAATAGTTTCGAGAAATATCACATCAGCAAGAGTTTCAGCAAAATAAGACTCTTCGATGACCAATATTCTTTCTACAGCTAGTGATGCCCTTCTCCTCACTTGCCAATCAGGCCAAAACATAAGAAGCGTCAGTGTTTTCAGCAGAAAAGGAGGATAAGAGCCGGGCTGAATGGATTATTTTATTGTTCAACAGGACTAATCCATCAAGCTGTTCCTTACCGTATCCGAAAAAGGCCTCTCTAATATGGATTTCTCCAGTAAATCAATCCAAGCGATGGCATCGTCAGCGCATATCGAGCCCAATGGTTTGTCCTGAATGCGGTGAACATTCCCAAGAAGAACGTCAAGGAAACAAAAACTGACCTTCAGAATACTGTCGTACTTGGTTACTTTGCTCCAAACTTTTGTATGGTTCGGAGTACCAGATTCACAGCTTTTGAGCAACAAAGACGCGAGGGAAATAAACTGTAGAGGTTCTTTTGCAGAATTATCAAGTTCCTGCCAGAGCTGTTTTTCTGCCTCAGCAGGTAACGATTTCATATCCCCTGAAGACTTCTGATACAAACGAGATTTACGGAGACACGCACTTACGGCTAGTGAAGATATTCGCTAGTGATCTGTATCCGATGTGACGAACAGGAATAGGCAGTTGTGGTGCATTCTATGAAAGCAAATGATGAGCACTACTGCAAAGCGAGAAACTTGTGACAACCTTGAAAGCAGAAACCAGTGCTGGTGAATTGTTGTTTAACCTCCTAGCCCAAATGGTCGAAGCCTTCCATTGCGCTGCCACTACATTCTCATGGGCTAGAATAGTCGAATCAAGAATGCAAGAACATTCTATCGCACACAACTTCGCCTACCCTCTTTATCCGGCACAGTCAACTTAGAAACGATGTTAGCTGCGATTTTCTCCAGCGCATCAGGATTGGCGTTCTTTGCTTTGGCACATTTCGCTACACCATCCAAGAAAGCAACGCGCTGCTCGGAAGTTTTGGCAGCTGAAAAGCAGGAAAGATCACAATGATTAAGAGCTTATTCGGGCATAACAAAGAGCTATGTATGTATGGATGGATGGAGCAGTGCTCATCGCATAATCTTGAAGAGATATAGATCTCGGAGCTACAAAGGTAAGCAAAAGCTCAGAAACTGATGAAGACAAAAGAGACAATAAAAGAAAGAAATGTATAGAAAAAACAACTGAAACAAAGATAAGTGAAAGAGAAAAAAGAAAGAGATGTCCTACAGGAAAATCGAACGAACCAGACAATTGTTCAAGCAAATAGTTTACGATCTTCTCGACGACAGGAGCCTCTGCAAGATTGGCAATTGCAACAATGCCATCTATTGCGGCATCTCTCAACTCATCAGAAGATGAACCCAGAAGAGCTGAAATAACTGGTCAGCCACGTAGTCGAATTTATTGGCCTACCTCCTAATCCCTTAATCAGATCGTTAGAGTATTTATCGAGTGGAAATGTCGCTGATTCCAATATTTTTACAACTCCTAGACATGTTCTGTACGACAAGAAAAAATGTAGGAAACTCCAGATGGTCAAACTCACCAAAGATGGCGACTTCTGGACTTCTGAGCAATGACTTCTTCATGTTAGGCAAAAGGGTATCGGAAAACGTTGATTCAGAAATTTGACCGAGTGCCTCCTTACAGCTGTCCTGTAGATCACCATGATGCATGAAATATATTGGAAGTCATAGTAAAAATTTAGAACTCACAATGACAAACTGCTCGGCTCGTACTTTCGGTAGCAACACTGATTTAGAGAAAACATCTAGGAAAAGTGCATGATCTAAGCCATCACAGACCTAGAAAATATCCAGCATCATTCCACCCCACCTTCAATGCAGACTCACCACAGAAAGCATCGACATCAAACACGTAATCTTCTTCGCAGAAGAAGCATCTTTACTGACTTCATTGATACCGTAACATATCCTTTTGGCCAGTTCTTTGTTGCGGCAAGCCAGCATCAACTTCCTCTTGAGTATTTTGGAAGCTTTAGGGCTGGCACAGCAGTAGAAAGACAAGTTACCCAAGGCAGAGATCTAAATTATCAAAGAATACACAAGCGAGAAATCTTCCGCTTATACAATGAAAAATGAGTATATATTGAATAAAAGAAATCACAAAAAAAGCATACAGCTACTCACAATTTCTGGCAGAACAGCATCAGGTACCCGTGGGATCAGGTGCAGAAGCCACTTTGCTGGAGGAATGGCAACACATCCAATGCTGTCACTGCAAAACAATTATAGAGCTAAAAGCCGTAACATAGATTAAATATTCGTGATAGTATAGAACATACGCATCAATTTGCAGCTTGTCTGAGAACGTTTAGATTTAAATTTGAAAAAACGGTACCTGATATTCGGAACCATTGGAAAGAGTGTTTGCACACTCTGAGCCAATGATCTCGCAGTTGCCCCAGACTCATGTTTAGCTAAGGCATTCAACAGATTCTCTACAGCCTGAAACAGAAGCATTTTTCTTCGCTCCCATAATTCATACGAATTTTGCTCACCTCAAAACTTTGCTTGTGTGAGTA